TTAGTCCAACAAGAGATATGTTGTCATCAATTATCAAAACCACCTAGAGAGCACTTGTGCTTTCAGGTAGTTATTTGCTCCGGTATTTTTTATATATTCCAAAATAATTCTCCGTAAATTTTCAGCTCATTTGGAGATGTGCAAAATAGGTAACTCTGGTGTAGCTTTTTCAGGTCCAGAATTCTAGCTGCTGGCATTCTCCCTCTTTGTGTAAACCTTGCATATTATGAGAGAAAAGGCATTAGAATTACTTCATAAAGCATTATTATGCATAAAAACATTATAAATAACAATAGAAAATCATGATGCAAAATGGACGTATGATATACTATCTCAAATTTGTTCTCTTTTGTGTTCTATAACGCCAACCTTTTAAAAAAACAATTCAATAAATTCAAGACGAAGCATGCTGCACGACATCCTAGCGTTCATTTTAATTTTCTCTACTTCAGTTCAAATGATGCTAGCAAAGGAAGTATTTGGTTTGTAAATTATGATATATTGAGGCTTGTTATAACTTTTCTCGAGGTTACAAAGAACATTTTGAACGGTTCATATACCTACTCAAAATACACAGGTTCTGATACATAACAACACTTTGTTATTATGCAAATATTGTGTCGTCGTGTAAACAAACAAGCGGTACAATGGCAAGCAATCTAGCTCGGGGCATGTCGAGTGAAGGGAATCAATTGTGGTTCACTTGGTTGCATGTTGTCTTCTGGTTGGCACACGATCCGGGCAAGCCTCATGCGCATATATGGATGGATTGGAGTGTCATCTTTGACATGTGTGTATTTTCCCCGTTGCAGTGCACATACATGTCTATCTGTTTTCCTTGAATTAGCTAACAGTTCATGAACACCATATAAATTTATATAAGGTACCGTTACACTCCAATCCATTTGTATACTAGGGGCACCTTCGTGGAAAAACCAACAACAAGAGTAGCTTATCGAGTATCGAGGGTGTAATGTATGTTTGGTGCCAGCTACCGTAATCCCATGTAACTAAGAGGGTGATAGTGGATTATTTTAATTATCCCTTAAGACTCCATGCGCCGCATTAGTAAAATAAGGAACTAATGGATGTAGAGTAGATTTCATCTCTGGCTCGTCATTGTTGATGGCTTCGGAAAGTTTGTTCTGAAAGTTCGGACAGACGTCCGAGTAGTGCAGCCCACACCCACCAAAGTGGAAAGGCAAGTGGTGCCTTGATGGGCAAGCACCTTGGAGCGCAAGTACCTTGGAGGCCATGCACATCATGGGAGAAGACACCAAACACCTTCTAGAAGAAGATACTTATGGGGTCGGCCCTAGGGCATTGCTTTCCCGGCCTCGTGTTTGTTGTGCTTGCCGGATTTTGGTGGTCATGATGTCGGTTACCATGGTTCAGGGAATTTGTCATGGGGGAGGGGTTGTGGTCCCGTTGAAGTCATTTGGTGGGCATGGGATCGTATGGGTAACGATCCTTGGGGGTCTAGATGACTCGCATGTTCTTTGTTGCCAGTCCGGCTCATCGCAATTCTCAAAGTAGTGGCGATGTGAGAGCCCGTGTTGGTACTCCACAGCCGAATCCTCGGTGAGGACATAGACCACCCAGAGCAAAATGTTGCCATGGCAGCGAATTCTGTTGCCATCTACCCAGGTGGTCCCCTAACACCTTAGTTGTTCCGAGTAGGAGTCCATGGTTCCAATGGTTTGGGTCATGTATCATGTGGGGTGAGGTTGACCTTTCCATTGACGCGGCTGCTGGGTTGGCATGGCTGGCCAAAGAAGGACATGAGCAACGATTATCTGCTCGAGACCCTTTGTGCCAGTAGGTTGCCAATTATCTTTGATTCACGTTCGTTTGTGGTCATTGATAGAAATGCAATGTGAACGCTAGGTTTCTTTTGATTGTGTTCTGTAAGGTGGGTTGTCGGACTATGCCAGTGCCGAAAGACCGGGCTCACATCCCAAAACATACTAGGCATGCGCGAGTGCCTGGCTCGGTGTGTGCGCGGTCGCATCCTGCCAAGCTGTTTCGTCTGTGCCCGGTGGTTCAGGTGGTGCCACAGCCTCTTGCCATTGAGTGCCCTTGGCTAGATGTCATACTTTCATATGTTTGTCCTGTATTTGGACTTTGTGGTCTGCATGGATGGTCCTGAATAGCCTTAGTTGTTCGAAGTAGGAGTCCCCTATTCTGATGGTTCGAGTCGTGTATCGTGGGGGCTATGGTTGGCCTTTCTATCGACCAGGCTATTAGGTTGCCCTGGTCGGCCAAAGAAGGACATGGGCAACAATCGTCTTTTTTTGTCGTTGGTAAATATATAAGGCAAATACAAATGCAATACGAACAAAATCATTTGCAGACCATTCCCGGGAAGCATCCTTCAAGTAGCTTACCTAAATTTTTGTCGGTATTAGTTGCTTTGATTCTTTACTGAATTTTGTCTTTGTGTCGATGGCTACCGTTGAGTTGTTTAAATAGCCCACTAGCTTCCATTTTATGTTTCAAATAGTTCACTTAGCTTCTGGGCTATATTTGGTATCTGCGCCAATGGAGCAGCGAGTCATCTATGAAAAAAATCACTAAAGGAAGCTATGGGCAATGATCATTGTCAAGGTAAATAGAAATACAGTACGAACATAGTCATTTGCACAAAGTTGAGGACACAATTCTTCAAATAGTTCGCTTTACTTTTGGGTAGCAGTTGGTATCTGCGCCAATTGGCACAACGTGTCATCTATACCAATGGTAACTAACTAAGTGATATTGCCTTTACTTAATTATTCCTTCTATACTAAGAATACACACGCCACGTGAGTAAAACGACCAGCTGATGGAGGTAGGACAAACATTATCTTTGGCTCATCAATCTTGATGACTTCATAGAGTTTGTTTAAAGTCGGAGAAGGCATCCCGGAACACCCCGTCCAGCCAGACCCTGGCACTAAAAGGCCGGGCTCACATCCTAGAATACGCCGGGCATGCACATGCGCCCATATCGGCCTTTTGGATCGGTAGCACCCTAACGGGCTCTTTCATTTGTGTTAGGAGGTTGTTGGGATGTGCCACGACTTCTTGCCTCGCGCTTGTCGGCCGTATGCCATGCTTTTGGATGTCCGCCAGGTATGTGAACCCTGTGGTTCGCCCTAATGGTCTTGAATCATCTCAATTGTTCCGAGTTGGAGTCCCTAGTTCCAACGGTTCAGGTCATGTATTGTAGGTGAGTGTGATCGTCCTTTCTATTTACCCGACTGTTAGGTTGCCTTGGCGAGCCAAGGAAGGACATCTGTTGTTAGTAAATATACACGAAAGCTACAAACACAATTGAGCAAAATCACTTGCAGTTCATTTGCTATTTGTACGTGGCAGAAACTAACCTAATACACACATAACTACTTCCAAACCATTCACCAGAAACATCCTTCAAATGGTTCACTTGACTTCCATTTCATGTTTCAAATAGTTCACTTAATTTCCTGGCTGCAGTTGGACTCTGCGTTAATTGGTGCAACGGGTCATCTAGTAAAAATAAGTATAATACATAGGCACCCATGTTGTAAAATTTCATGCCGAACATGCATAATCTTTTTTCGTGTGTTGGGGGGACTATATATGTTTCCTTCTTTCCCACAGTGCAGGGACGAGTCCTACTAAGTCTCCACCATTGTTGAACCCCAGAAAAAACTTGAGATCCCTCCTTGGTCATCCATTTCATCGATACTTTTAGGGAGGATAAGAGGAGATCTCGATCAACAAGGAGATACAAATATACCAACTCCACCAAAACAAAACTCGAGTTTGTTGGTTCCCCACTAGAATATTTGCGAATCTTGTTACTCTTGGGTTTGTGGGGGACCCTATACAATTAATGTTACCCGAGAGCTTCCAAGTTGTGTTGTTCTGCCTCAGGTTCATTTGTGGGCCTTTGGGCTCGCCCCAAGAGCTACCCCTATTGAGAGGGTGGTTGGACATTTGTCGGCGAAGGCACTCCAAAGCTTAGGTGAGACACTCCTTTTCAAGGGACCACGTGAATTTCGAGTTTTCCATCCGGCCCAAACCATCATCCCCCTTGTCACTCTCCGCCGCTACCCTGGTTGCTCTATTGATAGACTCTATCCCATCCGGTGTGCATCATTGGATTTTTTCGATACTTTTACCTTTTTTGGTTGTGTTCACGCCGTCTTGAAAGTATGAGAGTACCACACGTTTTCTCCATCTTCTTGTTTGTTCCACCCACGAAGCGAACCAACATGTTCCACGAGGCCATGTCGAATGCAATGTACATCCGGAGTGATCAAACTCATATTTCTCATTTTAGCCAAGATGCCATTTTGGATGTTATGTGTGGTAGTCGTCGATCAACGTGAAAATGACTATTGCATTACCAGTTTTGCACACATTTTTTTACCATATTATTTTCTCACACATTCATCCTAACTACAAACTACACATAGGTAAGATAAACCTCACATGCAACCGCAAAAAAAAAGACAAACATCATCACACTAGAACTACTTGGAGCAGCAAAGAGACTTCAAACTACAGTAGCTATGCTGGTAAACACACGGCCACGAGCCTGCGCATCTCAGCTCAAATATTCTTTCAGGCAAAGGAGAAAACAAACCGAAGGGAAAAAGAGAGGAGAATCCAGTTTCCAGTTTTTATACTATTTTCCCCGTCTCTCTCTCCTCGCCCTGTTTCTCTCTCTCCCTCTTCCTCCCCACCCTCTCCGCCGCATCCCCGTCTCCCCCGACCCTCACCCCCACCCCGCTGCTCCCGTCCAAACCCTAACCCTAAACCCCACCCTGCGCCTCCATCCAATCCCTGCCTGGCGTCCACCCGTCCCCGGCGGCACGGATTCGGATTCGCCGCGCCGGACCGATTCGATCGATGTAGGCAGCGAGCATCGCTGCCCACTCCGTACACACGACTCGCGCCCCCGCCTCGAGATGGCTGCCGCGGGGTGACGAGGAGGAGGGGAGAGTAGTAGAGGGAGCGCCCAAGCGTAGATGGCATTGGGAGATCTCATGGCGTCCAGGCTCGTGCACTCGTCCTCATCGTCGTCCTCGTCCTCGCTGCCCACCCCCTCCTTGGCGGCGGTGAACCACCAGACGGACCGCGTGGATGGTGAGCTCCCTGTCGCCAACGGGCCGGAGCTTCGGAGGGAGGACGCCGGCGAGGAGGATGAGGAGGGGAGGGCCGTGGCGCTCGTGCCGTGCCTGCCGCAGGTGGTTGTGCTGTGCGAGCAGCGGCACGAGGGGTTCAATGAGGCTGCGGTGGCGGCGGCGGCCGGGCCATCGACGAGCGGGCTCGTCTCCAAGTGGCGCCCCAAGGACAGGGTAATGGATGTAGCTCATGCAGCGCTCTTCCTCCTCTTGTTGATCATTTCTTTCTTAGATTTGTCAGGGTTGGCCCTCAGATATTCAGTCAGGTGATGCTCATGGGCTTATGATTAACGGCACGTGTAGTTCATTGAGCTAAACCAGGGTAAATTTGGGGCAGCTGCTGGTTTGCTTAAGTGGCTACGTGCAAATTTAGTATAATTTACCATTTTCAATTTAGGGGTTATGATTGGATCACTACACTTTTAAGGTGTGATGGATGATGTGACCAAACTTTTGAGTTTTGGCCGTTTAAGTAAGTTATATGATCCATATAACTTACTATCCAGATTTGCCTAGTTATTATTGTTCGCTGCGAGCTGATGCCATTCTTTCTCCCAAATGCTTGGAGGAGTCGATTTCATTTTATGCTGCCGTCGCCTTGTCGGTGGTTGCTTTATTAATTATAATGATAAAACGGAACCATTTATAGCTCGCTATGTTAATGTATCCATGCTTATTCGCTGCTCAGGAGTTCACCGGAATTAAATGTAGCATGACGACCACTAGCGTGTAATATGTAATTAATGGCTCGGCTAAAAAATCAAATAAGCAAGTGTCAAGTATCGGTATTGTTATGGCCTTTCTTAACAGAGCATGTCATTCTCTTAGGATGATCATTTTTGCCTTTAACTGCATGTATACAGTTTTCTGGTGATTGATATAAGATTGTATATAAGAATAATGGTTCAAACTATGCTAGACCCAAATATTCTTCATGGTTATCTAGTACTCTTGATTACATTCAGATAGGATGGCCGCACTCTTATCCAAGTGACTATTTGTTAGTGGCTGATTGGTGTCATGTGGAAAATTGGACACTTAGTGCCAGCATTTTGCCTGTGGTGAAACTAAGTAGTGAGTTGAGCGCCGATCAAAATCTGGATCATTGTAGTGAGTTGTCAAGGCAAACTTGCCTACCCAATGTACAAGTGTCACTGACGGTCTAAGAAATTCTATTGTTAAGAATTTGGCATGTGGTTTATGAAATATCACATTGGCAGTGCCATCGACTTTGAGGTTGAGGTATACGGTTGTTTCTACTCATGACAATATGAGAAGGATGGTTTTGACTATAAAGACGAGGTTGCCTTACTTGAAAACAACTTAGCATTACGGCACTTGAAATTTCCTCTCGGATAATTTGAGTTGTGATTGACTGTTTGCTTTTGGGAATCAAAGTTTTACTATGTATGTTAGTGGAGATGTTCACATTCCTATTTAAAAAAAACATGTATAAGCTCTTAGTAGTTCATGTATATTAAGCTACCTTTCCCCTTCTTACAAATTAACTCTAGCAGGTTTGCAGATTATAGTGATTTGTCTGGACTAGAATATTGTGTTAAACTTTTGTAACCATGTGTGTGCCATGATTGTTTGCGAAAAAGAGATATGCTAAATTTATTGTGATCTCAGCAAGGGGATATCGCATATTTAGTATGTAAATTATGCCACAGCTTTGGTTTGTTTATTTTCAGTAGAACTAGCTGATGTTACCAATAAATCGCTTAATTACTATTCCAGTTTGTTGTTAGTTTGGTCAGAGTATTGATCTTTGTTGGTCATACCATTTTGACCTCTTCCCTTGGTTGTGTTTCTACTCTTTTGTTTTGTAACCATTGGATGGTGTTACTTTCATAAACTGTTTACATTTCGTATGTGCTATATACTAACAGTGGTCTTTGTTGCAGATGAAGACTGGATGTGTTGCACTTGTATTATGTTTAAACATTAGTGTTGATCCGCCGGATGTAATTAAAATTTCCCCTTGTGCAAGAATGGAGTGTTGGATAGGTAAACATTCGGTTATGTGTATATGCTTATCTAGTTTTCTAATGAGCTGAGAGGGACTTTTTTGCCTGCTGTTGGTAATTCAGTTTCATGTTTGTGGTATGCAGCTTCATTATCACTTTTTTTTTCTCTGTACGCGCTAGTTAGAATAAATTCAATCTTTATTTTATAATAATTACTATTTTCACTTAACTGAAAGCACTTTTTTTTCACGGTTGCATTTCTGAATGCCAGACTTGGCTGTGTTGGTAGCTGGAGGAGATTGCAAATTTGCAGCAAAGAAACAGTCTTGCATCTATTTAGAAATAGATGGTGTTCTTTTAATAGATGAATTCAAGTTTTATAGGTTACATAATAATATCATATTCGTGTTTTGGTTGCAGAGCAACTAATGATTTCTAGGCTACATTTGAAGATATTGTGTTCTTTAGGTCGTGAATGATATGAACTTGATTGTATTTCTAGCTCAGTGGGTGATATGAACTTGATTTATTAATAGTAGCGATAATTATTTGTTGAGACGTGAAATGTACCAGATTTAAACAAGCATGATGGCTATCTTTGTAAATAGCATAGTAGTACAATAATCTTATTGCACTTCAGTTGCCTTGAGATCTGCTCACAGCCTTTCCGTTGTTTCATTTTCAGATCCATTTTCTATGCCACCCCCCAAAGCCCTTGAAAATATTGGAAAAACATTACACTCACAGTATGAGCGATGGCAGCCTAAGGTGGCCCACTTTATTTATTTACATAAGCGTTTTCTGATAAGCTGATATCACTGCTTACATCTTCATTCCTAATGATGCCTGCAGGCTCGTTACAAGCTTCAGCTGGATCCAACAGTCGAAGAAGTCAAGAAGCTTTGTAATACTTGCCGCAAATATGCCAGATCAGAGAGGGTTCTTTTTCATTACAATGGTCATGGTGTACCAAAGCCTACGGCTAATGGAGAGATTTGGATGTTTAACAAGGTGAGTGTTGTTAAGTCAAAACGTGTATTGCATATGTTGATTCATTATTTATCCATATGTCTTTATTGAAGCGTCCTTTGTACTCTGGTGCAGAGTTATACACAGTATATCCCTCTTCCTATTACTGATCTCGATTCATGGCTGAAAACACCATCGATTTATGTTTTTGACTGCTCAGCAGCTGGAATGATTGTGAAAGCTTTTCTAGAGGTATACACTATAGTCCAGTCTAATGTTTTTTGTATGTTCATGCAATCTGCAAGTCATAGGTACATAATTTATGTTTTTTTCTTTCTATTTGTACGATTCTTGGATGGTTTCATATTCATTATGGCTCCTTATGTTGACTTCAGCGCCTAGACTGGAGTTCAAGCTCTTCTGCGTCTTCAGTGAAGGATTGCATTCTCCTTGCTGCCTGTGAGGCACATCAAACTCTTCCTCAGAGTGCAGAATATCCCGCTGACGTGTTTACAGCTTGCCTGACCACTCCCATAAAAATGGCATTGCACTGGTTCTCTCTCTCTCTCTCTCTCTCTCTCTCTCTCTCTCTTACACAGTTATCAATCCAGTGTAGTTTGTCTTGCTGTATACTGGTCTTTGTATAGTCCCCCTTCTGATTTCAGCTGACATTTGTCCTGATCTGTGAACTTGTCTACAAACCATGCAGGTTTTGCAAACGATCATTACTCAGTGGTTCTCTGGATCACTCTCTTATTGACCAAATTCCTGGAAGACAAAATGACCGTAAAACACTTCTGGGGGAGTTGAACTGGATTTTCACTGCTATTACAGATACTATTGCATGGAATGTTCTTCCTCATGGTACAGAAGGTCATTTGAGTTAAAAAATAATATCAGTGGGGCATTGCTTTTATAACACAAATTTCACATGTGCAGAATTATTCCAAAGGCTTTTCAGGCAGGATCTTTTGGTCGCCAGTCTCTTTCGCAACTTCTTACTTGCTGAGAGAATCATGCGGTCTGCAAACTGCTCACCAATTACGTACCCACTATTGCCACCCACACATCAACATCATATGTGGTAATTGACTAGATTAGTCATTCTGTTTCCATATATATTATGCGCCTTTTCTGCATTTACCGTAATTTGCTGAATGTTAGGGATGCATGGGACATGGCTGCGGAGATCTGCCTTTCCAAGCTTCCTCATTTGATTGCTGATCCTAATGCAGAGTTTCAGGTCTTGCTACCTATTTTATCGTTGAATAATTTAGCACTAAAAACTTAAACCATTGGAGTATTCTCACTTCAGTACCATAACTTTGCTTGTCTCCTTACTCAAACAGCCGAGCCCATTTTTCACGGAACAATTGACAGCATTCGAAGTGTGGCTTGATCATGGTTCTGAGGATAAGAAACCCCCTGAACAGTTACCCATTGTTCTTCAGGTAAGACAATTTCTCGGACCAATTATTCTTGAGCCTACTAATGCTATTGTTATCTGAGATGGTAACAAACTCTCCAAATAGTCTAGTGGCAAGAGACAGTGTTTGGATGATCCAGTCACCTTTTCTTGTCTACTTGTACCATATTGGTTCTATTTATATTGTTGTATATGCCATCTTAATTAGTTCATGACCTCATGTAACCAGCGTTATTTTGGGAGTGTGCTACACCTCTAGACAATTGTCAACTATATTTCTTTTCTTGTTTTTCTTTGCTCTTGATATGATCATGTTTTATGTAGGTCCTGCTTAGCCAATCACACAGATTTAGAGCACTTGTTCTGCTTGGAAGATTTCTTGATATGGGTCCATGGGCAGTTGATTTGGTATGGACTTGGCATATTCTGCAGGCCTTCATTTGTTTTTTGACATTGTGCTGGCTATTTATTCCTTATCGAGTATATTCAAACTCTGGCACTTCATTGTTTTAGGCCTTATCTGTTGGTATCTTCCCTTACGTGCTCAAACTGCTCCAAACAAGTGCGATGGAGTTGCGTCAAATTCTTGTGTTCATATGGACAAAAATTCTCTCTCTTGATAAGGTATGCACTCTACTTAAAAATCTTCAGCAGCTGTTCCTATTCTCTTGAAGATTCTGTTGTTTAACTCAGTTGCTCTTTTTGTTTCAAATGACAGTCATGCCAGGTTGATTTGGTGAAAGATGGAGGGCATGCATATTTTATCAGGTTTCTTGATAGTTTGGATGCTTACCCGGAGCAGCGTGCAATGGCTGCTTTCGTTTTAGCAGTTATTGTGGATGGGCATAGGAGGGGTCAAGAGGCTTGCATGAGTGCAGGTCTTATAGATGTTTGCCTGAGACATCTGCAACCTGAGAATCCTCATGATGCACAGACAGAGCCTTTGCTTTTGCAATGGCTTTGTTTATGCCTTGGCAAACTCTGGGAAGATTTCCCTGAGGCTCAGTTACTTGGTCTACAATCAAATGCACCCGAAATTGTTACATGTTTATTGTCTGAGCCTCAACCTGAGGTATGGTTAGACTTGGTGTGTCAGTTCTTCATCATCGCAGGTTCGCAACGTGAGCATTAAATATTTGGTCTTTGCAGGTCAGAGCCTCTGCTGTTTTTGCACTTGGAAATCTGTTGGACATTGGATCTCCATCAGTGAATGGAGGTGATGACGACTCTGATGATGATGAAAAGGCGAGAGCTGAAATAAATGTTGTTCGAAGCCTTCTGCAAGTCACTTCAGATGGTAGCCCTCTTGTTAGAGCCGAGGTTTCTGTAGGTAAGTCTACCTGAAAATACATTGTACTTCCTAGATAGTCCTTTTAGTAATGTCTTGGACATAGTAGACTCCTTTTAGCTATGAACAATCATTTTGAGTTAAGCTGATATCTTCCAGCTCTTACTCGCTTTGCGCTGGGCCACAACAAACATCTCAAATCTGTTGCTGCGGAGTACTGGAGACCTCAAACCAATTCACTGCTGAAGTCACTACCATCATTGGCTAATATTAATAACCCAAGCAATGTTTACAGTCCCAGTAACTTTTTGCAAGGCAGCAGTGGCCTTTCTTCTCATATTGGTCCTGTGTTAAGGGTTGGTAGTGATACCAGTGCCACAGGTCGTGATGGAAGAATTTCTACAAGCAGCCCGATTGCGACAAATAGCATTATGCATGGGTCTCCCCAGTCAGATGATTCTTCTCAGCACTCTGATTCAGGCATATTGCTGAGAGATAATGCAAGTAACGGTGGTCTCAGCTACACCAGGTCAAGGCCTATTATTGACAGTGGAATTTATTCCCTATTTATTTCGACGATGTGCTCTATTGCTAAAGATCCTTACCCTAGAATTGCAAATATTGGCCGGAGAGCACTGTCCCTTGTAGGGGTTGAGCAAGTGGTCATGAGAAATACTAGATTTGGCAGTGGGGGTGCAGGAGAGTCATCTGCTCCTTCATCAAACATAGGAATGGCACGTTCTTCTTCCTGGTTTGACATGAATTCTGGTAAGTTATAACCTTTTTCCTTGCAATGTGCTTGTAGTACCTCTCAGTTTTTTCCCAATGGGGTTAACTATTTCACTGATCGTTTTCAATGCTTTTGCAGGAATCTCAATGGCATTTAGGACCCCTCCTGTTAGTCCACCTCAGCATGATTACCTTACAGGGTTGCGCCGCGTGTGTTCTATGGAGTTCAGACCACATCTCTTGAACTCACCTGATGGCTTAGCTGATCCGCTCTTAAGCTCTGCTGCAGGCCCCAGTACCAGTGAGCTTAATATACTTCCCCAATCAACAATTTACAACTGGAGTTGTGGCCACTTCTCTAGGCCTCTTCTAACCGGGTCTGATGATAATGGGGAAGTAAGTGCTAGAAGAGAAGAGAGGGAACGAACTGCACTGGATTGCATCGCTAAGTGCCAGCGTTCCTGTACGTGGATTGACCGCTTGCTCTACATTCAATCTGCTTTTTATTAGTTATGTTAGTTATTTGGCTCTCATTTGTGATGGTTCCCCTTTTCTCTTTTTGTCGTCGGCGGGAATAGCAGCATGCAAAATGACTAGCCAAATTGCTAGCTGGGATACAAAGTTTGAGTTGGGTACAAAATCAGCATTGCTGTTACCTTTTTCTCCAATCGTCGTTGCAGCTGATGAAAACGAGCAAATAAGGTAAAATATATATTGTTAGAACCTCAAAATTGATAATTCATGTGTCCTAAATAATGACTTCAGGTGTCTAAAGTTTTATTTTTTTATATTCATGCCAGAGTGTGGAATTATGACGATGCTCTACCAGTGAATACTTTCGAGAACCACAAGTTGTCTGACAGAGGACTATCCAAACTTTTACTTATCAATGAGCTTGATGAAAGCTTGCTTTTAGTTGGCTCAAGTATGCCTTCCCTCTTTATGGCTTTCTCTTGTATCTGTACATATGTATTCCTTGTGACATCTTTTTTTCATACTGTAGGTGATGGAAATGTCCGTATATGGAGAAACTATACTCAAAAGGGAGGACAGAAACTTGTAACTGCTTTCTCATCAGTTCAGGGCCATCGAGCTGCAGGCCGCAGCGTTGTGATTGACTGGCAACAGCAATCTGGTTATCTGGTGATATTCTGATTTCTCTTTCCAAGTTCTGGTAACTTTGTACTCATTTAAGACCGTCCTAATACTGGAACTACTCCTTTTGTTGTACAACAGTATGCATCTGGTGACATGTCTTCCATCCTTGTATGGGATCTTGACAAGGAGCAACTTCTCAACACCATTCCATCATCTGCTGATAGTGGCATTTCAGCTCTGGTGAGTTCTGGTTACCATGTATAATTTGAGTATTCAGAATAGTCGTACGACAAATTGTTTAGTCTGTTTTGGACTCTAGGGATTTCATGTGCTATGGCTCTATTATTTTCTGTTCTGCTGTTCCAGCTTTATACTCATGGACTTCCCCCTTCACGCTAATCAGAAATTACCAATTTTGTCCACTGCTAACTCTAGGTTTTATGAGACCTAAATTTCATATTCACTAGTTAGACGGTGTCAAAATTAGATCATGCCGCAGATTGATGCACAAAGAAAAATGAGATCATAAATAGTTCAGTGTTCCTTCTGTAGGAACAACTTCGTTTTCTTAGGTCTAGCAATGCATGCAGTGTCTAAATTTTTTGGCTAAAGGGTTTGCTCAAAATTTATTCCCTACTTTTACTTGACCAAAAGTAGTGTTTCAGTTGATTTTGTCAGTTTGTCTTGTTTTTTGCACTTTCTATGATGTGACGAACTAAGAAGCACGGGTACGGGTACACGGACACGGCGATACACATACGGGCACATGGGATATGACATTTTCCAAAAACAGCCATTCGGGGATACAGCAAGTATATAAAAAAAATAAAAAAATGTCATGTAAGATACAGAGTTAAAAATAAGAATGATACATCAAATGGCAAATGTTAGTATTAGTCTATTAGAGAGTAGAGACCAGGGTTCCCTTCACTCACCCATGGACAATTGGCTACCGGCGGTGGCGCTCCCAAACGCCATGCTCCCTGACCCATGGACAATTGGCTACCGGCGGTGGCGCTCCTAAACGCCATGCTCCCTGACCCATGGACAATTGGCTACCGGTGGTGGCGCTCCCAAACGCCATGCTCCCTGACAGCAAGCAACGATCACAACAGCAGCACCAGCATTCAAGTGAGCGGCAGCTCAACAGCAAAGCAGCAGCAACTCAACGTCAAGAAATCGAGCAAAGACATGAGGAGGTCGAGGAGAGGCTGCTTGGTTTCCCGCTCGAGCGTGTTTGTTGTCGGAGGCCGAGTTCAGGCCCGGCGGTGGCAGCAGGCGGCGGCGGAGTCCGGCAGTAGTGTCGAGTCCAGGCGGCGGTGGCGCGATCGCTGGAGCGTGGAGCAGCGTTCCTTTTGTGGCGCTGTATTGGGCCAAGGCTGTTATTGGGCTTCCCGTGTCCCTAATGTATTCCATATATGTCCCAGCCATGTCTTTCCTTTTTTTTCCTTTTTTCTAATTCGGAAATCAAGGGATACTGGGGGATACGCGAATCCCGGCGTATCTAGCCGTATTACCGTGTCCCGCCGAACTAGGACGGCAATTTGGCTGTTTTGGCCTTGTCCATGCTTTGTAGGTGAGGAATACAGTTAGCAAAATAAAATTTTGGTGACTTGCTTCTTAAGAATATATGTATTTTTGTTTCATTGGGTTGTAAGTGCTATTTGAGCTATTGCATCAAGATGTATTGATCAGGTTTAACATATTCTGTTTTTGTCCATGACCATTGCTTGCTGTTTCTCTTTCAGTCTGCATCTCAGGTTAGATCTGGTCAATTTGCTGCCGGTTTTATTGACGCATCCGTAAGGATATTTGATGTTCGTACCCCTGACAGGTAAGTAAATCTTTATTTCTCTATCCTTTACCCTGGATAATATTTGAGATATTATCCATATGTTAAAGTATGGGATTCAGTTTTTATTACCTTTTATCCTCATTCATGTTTCTTCCTTTGGATGTTTTTTCCTTCAATGATGCAGGCTAGTTTATATGGCAAGACCACATGCCCCAAGAACTGAAAAGGTCGTCGGTATAGGATTTCAGCCTGGATTTGATCCATACAAGGTATTCCTACCACTTTTTCTTTTGGTGTTGCCGTGTTCTTCATTCTGTTATATTGCTATAGGTTTTGAAAAATGGTTTGCTGGAGCTTTACAAAGCTATGTAATATTTGCGTTCACAGATTGTAAGCGCATCTCAAGCTGGAGACATTCAGTTTCTTGATGTTAGAAGGGCTGCTGAACCCTACCTCACTATTGAAGCTCACAGGGGTTCATTAACAGCATTGGCTGTTCACCGGCATGCCCCAGTCATTGCAAGTGGCTCAGCTAAGCAAATGATTAAAGTGTTCAGTCTTGAAGGAGAACAGCTAACGATCATTCGGTACCAGCCATCTTTTATGGGCCAAAGGATAGGAAGTGTAAACTGCCTTTCGTTCCATCCGTACAAATCTCTCCTGGCTGCTGGAGCTGGTGATAATGCTCTGGTCTCTATCTATGCTGAGGACAATTATCAAGTAAGATGAGGTTTACATCCTGTGGCATGCAATGACGACACAATCAGTAGGCCATGATTGGCCGACTGCTGGATCCGCAGCAGGTTCAGCTACAAGATACAAGATGATACAAAGCCTGGTCAGTGACATGGTGGTGATTGCAGTGCTGTGGCTTTTTGGTCCATATTGCTTGTGTTGGGCATCTACATCTCTGGTCGGCGTGTGCAATTTGTAAGATACAAATCAAGATTCATTAGCCTCCCTTGCAGAAGGTTGTGAAAGTGAAAGGCAGTTGTGGTCCAGTCAGTGAATTCGGAGGCTTCCCCAATAATCATACCTAGGTTAACTGAAATGTAAATAGCCGTCCCCATTTGGATTGTTGTCCTGTCAGTCAGTTTTCTTCCTTTCCCAAAGTGTAAAAAGGTTTGCCGATGCTTCATATCATAAGTCGGGGTCTGGCGGGGTCTGCCCGGGCAAGTGGTTGTTTATATGGGCCAGGAAGGGAGAATGCATGCACATGTCTCCTCACAGATGTTCTTCAATAGATAGATGCTCCTTTCCAGCTAATATAGCATTAGAGGTGAGTTGTTACTATGGCTTGCTTTAACCAGTGTTGTCCAGGTCATTCTTTCTAAGCATTGGACTATCATCATCCAGTGTTGTCGTCATAGCAGGGCTTCATTGTCCATTTGTACATATGAACTGCATTTGTACAGTAGTTAATTCTCTTAACATAAGTTGTAATGCATGTTTCTCCTTGGGTGTATCTGGCATATTCTGAATATTTAAGTGAAAAAGAAGCTTGTCTCTGTGTACACATTGTTGTTTCTTTTGCCTAGAATCATGGGCTGTGGTTTCTGAATATTCTGTGTGGAATTCTGTATGGTTTATTTTGATGGTTAAGAGATGATGCAGCATGAGGTTGAACGCCAACTGGAGGCATCACAAACAAACGGAGGTGTTGTTGCATTGAAGCAACTGGCAAGAGATTTCGGGACGCGATGAAATGAAATTTTACTTGCATTTCATAGCATGCGAGGAGACAATGGGTGTCCCTTTTTAAGGCATCCTGTATTTCACCATTGAATGCTGGCTGGCAAGTCAAGACTAAAAAGTTGTGTTTTGTGCTTAAGCCATTTGGTATTCATACCAAATCTAATTGACCGATCACAGCCACACACGCAGAGAGGAGCGGCAATGGCGGAGCTTCGATCCTTGTTCGACGACGGTACTCCGCTGATGCGTGTAAAGAATAGATGCGTTGCAAATACAGTGCAGCAGTAGGCCAGCAGCGAGTATCTGACATCGGCACCAGCCGGCGGCGAGATGAGCTGCTCCCCGGTGCCAGAACCTGACCACCACCGCCTGCTGGCCACCCTCGCGCGCCACGGCCGCCTCGCCGCCGCCGCCACGCTCTTCTCCACGGCCGTCCGCACCACACGCGCGCTCAACACCATACTCGCCGCCCTCTGCTCCTCCCCGTCGCTGCTCCGCGTTGCCCCCTCCGTGCTCCTCCTCGCCGCCCCCACCGCCTCCCCCGACGCGGCCACCTTCCGCGTCCTCACCTCCGCGCTCTGCCGCGCAAGCCGCCCCTCCGCCGCCGCCGGCCTCCTGCGCTGCATGCCCTCCCTCCATCTCGACCCGGACTCGCCGCTGTGCCGCGCCGTGCTCTCCTCCCTGTGCCGCTGCGCCCCGGCCCGGGACGCGGCGGCGTTCCTGGACGACATGCGCCGGTGGGGCGTCCCGCCCAGCGGGCTCGACCACCGCGCCGTCCTCCGCGCCCTCCTGCGGGAGGGGATGGTGGCGGAGGCATACGAGGTCGTCAGAGAGAAGATGGGCTCCGATGGCGTGGCCCCCGGGGTGGCCGACTTCGAGCTGATGCTGCGCGCGTTCAGCGAGCGCGGGCAGTTCGACGCCGTCGACGAGGCGTTCGACGAAATGCTCCTCCGAGGGCTCGTGCCGGGCGTGGCCGTCTACAACGTGTACGTCGCCGCGCTGTGCAAGAAAGGGGACCTGGCCGGCGCGCGCCGGATGGTGGAGTGCATGGAGCGCGCCGGCTGCCCGCCGGACGTCAGGACGTTCGGCGTCGTGGTCGCTGGGTGCGTGTCCGCCGGGGACGCCGGCGCTGCCAGGGACGTGGCATGGGAGGCGGTGCGGCGAGGCCTGCGGTGGGACACGCCGTCGATGGTGGAGCTGGTCGGCCTGCTCCGGGCGGGCGGGCACGTCGCGGACGCGCACGGGCTGCTGCTGGACGTGTTCCTGCACGGCGGGTGCACGGGAGTGGACGCCTCGACGCTCGGGCAGCTGATATGTGCCAGCGAAGGCGCCTGCAGCGTGATCACAGATCACCCGAAAGACTAGAAAGTGCATCACATTTTGAGGTCCATGCCTCGTTTAATCTGTTCCGAATGTTTCAGCTGCAGGTCAATCTGCCAATGCATTCTAGTGCTTGATGAATGTCCACTGGATATTTAGATGTACGCATTTCACATAAATTTTTAAGAGTTTAATTTTTTTTGAGGGAAAGAGTTTAATTGCTTTGTGCACAAACTTGAAATGCATGCTGCGCCTAGGTGTGAAACTCCCAAAGTGGTACGATGGGGTTGCAAACTTGGAACCCGTGAGACGAAAAGGTCACATGCCAATCACAGCTCGCCGTTGGCAGCCACGTCGGTCCTGTTTGCCGATCTGACGACGTAGTTAACACCCGTTGTCAAAGAATTGCAACCGAATACTAGCTATACCATTACCAAACTACGACATGGAGGATTTCCTAGCATGGGAATGTCAAAGAATTTTCAGTTCTCTGTCAAATCGGCACACTATGTGGAATGGGATCACAAGTTAGGGAATAATCTTCGTTGGTCAAATGGCCAAGGTGCACCGCGAGTGTGTGGAAGAAAGTTTGGGAACTAGGCTGCCCGGCAAAAATCAGAATTTTCACTTGGAAAGCGTTGCATGCTACCTTAGCATGTGGTGTCAATTTGGCCCAGAGACATATCAAGCTGTCACCGCAATGCCCCTGTTGCAAGGAAGGGGCTGACACTACGGCTCATGTGTTGTTTCAATGCCCTGCCGCAAGGAACGTTTGGAAAGAGCTTGCTTTGGAGAAACTAATTCAAAAGGCTTGTGCGGGAGAAAGTATATTTGGATTCCTATTGTAGATGCCGCAACATGAAATGATGGACCAGAAACAAGAAAAGATGCATAAAATGATTGCAATGACCTGCTGGTACCTATGGTGGGAAAGGAGAAAGCTACGCCATGAAGAAAAGGTTCAAACTGCTAACCAGATTGCTACTTCTGTTAGAGTTCCTTACAGCTAACTACACTGCTGCGGCCGCCCCTAAAACTAAGAGGAAAACAGGAGGATGGGAACTCCCGCCTAGAGGACATGTGAAATTGAATGTGGATGCCTCCTTTGACGGTGATCTGCTTGTAGGGACGGCAGGTGCAATCATCAGAGATGACAAAGGTAATTTTATCGACGCGGGTAATTGGAAACTTGATTTCTGTTATGATGTTCTTTCAGCCGAAGCAACTGCATTGCGATATGGTTTATCTTTAGCACAAACTGTAGGCTGTAATAAGGTCATCATTAAATCTGATAATTTGGAAGTGGTGAATACAATAAATGAGGGAGGAAGATCGGCAGGACCAGCAACAACAATCTTCGACGACTGTTATCACATGGTATGTGATTTTCTTTATACTTCCTTTGTGCACTGCCCCAAAGAGGCAAATATGGTTGCCCATGAATTGGCAAATTTGGCAAAGGGGCCTTTATGTAGTAGTTTCTTCGATAAGACTCCTAGTGAACTTATCCCGCTTTTACTCAGCGATGTAACTCTTGTAACACCGTAATGAAGTGAGATGATTTGTTTCAAAAAAAAAAGACTTAGAGCATCTCCAGCCGCGCCCCCCGACTAGTTTTAGCGCCGACGCCGAAAAAACGGTCCAGTCGCGTCCCCAGGAGCTCATTTTTCACCGGTTAGGCCCGAAACTGGCACCAACAGACCCAGACCGAACCCGGTGCGCTGTGGGGCATCCGGGGGCGCCGGGGCAATCATTTTTGGCGCGAAAAACGGCGGGCCCGTCGAGTCAGTGACCCAGCACCTTGTCGTCCTCATCGCCTCGGTTTCCCGCGGGGAATCAATGCCAAGGCTACCGCCGGTCAGCCTTACATTGATTCCTCACGGGCGGCGCAGTGCGGCGACGCGCCCCCTCCCGC